CCGCGGTTATTCATATTACCTATTTTATATTGAAACTTCGATTTCTATGATAAAGTTAATAATTTAAATATGATATCAATTTATAATATAAATGCAGATCTGTTACTCAATTGTACGCGAACCAAAAATATATAAAGTATAATTTTTTTTTTGTCATTTAATGATATTGAAAATGACAGCTCAAGAGAAATCAACATTTATTGTTTGCAAAATTAAATCTGCAAGAAAATTTCATGTGAAATTTTTTACTTGCCAAAACATTCTTATTTTTTTATTAATTGTTGAAATTATAACAATTTCAATAATCTGGTTGTATGTATATTTTTGGTTTTCTATCCGGTACATAGAAGTTTGAACTGATTTTTATCTATTTTTATAGGATCAAACATTCATATTTGTTTATTGAACCTTTCGAGCCAATTGTGCATGGAACTTTTAGTGTTGATCAATATAAATTTTGGTATATAATAGATCAAATAAGAGACTTTTTAAGTGAAATAAAGTCAGGATGTTGTGGGTTTGGACATCCAGATTATGATGGGTTAGTGCCATATTAAATTTTCAATTTATCCAACTTGGATTGGTTTTCTTGCGAATAGAATTTATGGTAGTAATAGTTCAAACATCTGTATTAATATTTTTGTAAAATAGACTTTTTTAATTTATTAAACTAATATTAACGTAAAGTTAAATTTGTATTTATTATCTAGTATAAATTTGTTAAAAATTAGTTTCAAATTTTTCGTGCTGGGCCGAATTATGTTGGTCATGGGCCAGGTAATGATTTATTATATTTTTGGCTTTCTCCAGCTAGTGCATAGAAGTCCGAACTGATTTTTATCGAATTTTTAAAGGATCAATAAGTCGCAGCATTCATATTTGTATTCTGAGCCAATTGTGCATGGAACTTTTGGAATCTAATAGTACAAACAATGAGACTTTTTTTGTGAAATAAGTCGTGAATTCGGGTATTCAAAATATGATCTGTTGCACAAAATTGGTATAGCAGACTATTAATTTAAAGCTTATTTCTTTCAAGTTTTCTGTCAACTCCAAAACTTTGTTGCAAATCTAACAGCCCCATGAACAAATCCGAATATTATGTAACCAGGTTTCACTGCATAAAACACTATGTATTTAAAGATTTTCATTATCGTTATGTTGTAATATTATTGTTAATCCTTTAACTTTTATCATTTTATTGTATACAAAAACATTCCTTTAAAACTTTTTTGTCATATTTTACTTGACAAATATTATTTAATAATTGGTGATACAGTATAAGTTTATTAATAAATGTCTGAAAGGAAAAAAAAAAGTTATACCAAGACCTATATTGAACGTATTACTGTAAACGTTAAATTAGCTAAGCCGTTTTATGATCCAATTACTCCAAAAGTGAAAAATTTAGAAGCTTGGAAGGAAGATTGGAAGAATTACAATCAAGAATTGTACAATAAGATAGTCCAAGAAAAACTTAATTTGAACTGGATTGAATTTTGTAGCAGATTTAATTAATGTAAAATGTTGTATGAATCAATCAAAGAAAAGGACTTTAATTCTGCCCATGAGAAAAATAAAGAAATAAATAAATTGATCAGAGAAACAATTCCAAATGAAAACTATTCAAATATTTACTCAATAACAACATATTGGAGGAAATCATATGACTATTTGGCTTTGATATTCAAAAGTATTAATTAAGAATTTTTCTGAAAACTAGCATTATCCATTTTTCATATTAATACAATAATTTTTTTTTTTTTTTCGGTATTAAGATAACCTCTTTGGCCGGGGAACATTTTATTAGATAGTTATGTTTTTCAATTACAGTAAGGGTACATATGGGCTGCCGTCAATAGAAATCAAGCAGATCTACATTTGAAAAAAAATCAATGCCTTAAGTTTCACGGCTCATA